CCATCCTCAAAGATATGACTCACTCCAAAATTGGTGCTCCTGTGGCAGCTGGATCTCCTCACTGTGCGTCACAGGATCTTTAATTACAGGGGCTCTGCCCTTCCCTAGTTCTAGTAATCTGGGAACTCAGTGAATTTTCTACTCTGTAGCCAGGACCTACTAGTTGTTCCCATTCCTCTACCCACAACCGCCAGGGAAGTTGCCACACCTCATTATGAGATCTATAAATTTCCTTCAAACAAGATGTGTTGAGCAGCCACTGTGTGCTTGTCACTGCCCAAAAAGAGCTCACAGTCTAGTAGAAAAGACCTACAAGTAAAGAGTTGTGAGTGCTGTGATAGAAGGAACAGACTGTAGAGCAGGCGTCCCCAAACTGCGGCCCCCTGAGGCCATTTATCCGGCCCCCCGCTGCACTTCAGGAAGGGGCTCTTCTTTCATTGGTGGTCAGTGAGAGGAGCACAGTATGTGGCAGCCCTCCAACAGTCTGAGGGACAGTGAACTGGCCCCCTGTGTAAAAAGTTTGGGGACGCCTGCTGTAGAGGGACTGGGATGGGGGTGCTGAGTGTGGAAGAGATGGTTAGCAAAAGATCCATCATGTAGTTAATGCCTGATCTGCTTTTGAAAAGAAAATAAGCAAAAAGAGGCAGAGGAGGAACAGGGAAAAACAAAGTGGCAAGGCCAATGGAACTGCCAGTGAGTCAGTAGGACTAAGGACTGGGTTATGGAAGAGGGAAAGGAAAATGCTGCTGAAGAGATGACAGGAAGAGGCAATATTAAAGTCAGCTGAAGTTTAGACTACATGCTGGGGGTAATGGGAAACAACTAAAGGGGTTACAAAGAGATCATGATTTCTGCATCAGAGAGACTTGACTTTCTATCAACACTAAGCAGAGTGAAAAGGGATATGGGAAGAGATAGCAAAGAGATCCTGAGAATCATAGAGCACGTTATACAGTCTGAACTGACTCCTCTGTTTCTCTAGGAACGAAGAGGAGGAGATCTGTTGTAGTACCTGGTTGTTTTAATCACCTCCTATTAACCCTGTTGGAGCAGGAGGGATTCCTGCCTTAGAATAACGCACATGGCTAAACATATGGCAAGTGACACTGGCCTAATGAAAATGACAAAAATTTATTAATTACATAGACTTACAGGGTGGAGGACAAGGACACTAAATGACATGCAGGGCCACATGGGGGTTGCAGTTGGGAACAAACTTAGTAAGACGGGCCATGTGAGGCAGGCTTTGTAGTAGCAAAAGAGTTAGGTGACCCCTGGTTACCATGAAAGGATGTGACTGGCTTCTTTGAATAATTCCAGGGCTGGCAGAGAACTGAAACTCGCTCTTCAAGAATAAGCAGGAACTGGCTGGGTGTGGCGGCTCACGCCTGTAATCCAAGCACTTTGGAGGCCAAGGCGGGCGGATCACCTGAGGTCGGGAGTTCAAACCAGCCTGACCAACATGGTGAAACCCCGTCTTTAAAAAAAAGAAAAGAAAAGAGAAAAAAAGAATAAGCAGGATCTGTGTCTGGTTCTCTTGACGTGGAGCGTTGTTTGCAGGAGCAGAGTGAGGAGGGAAACTTGTGGTCAGGCCATGTGAGGCCTTCCCAGTCTTACCAGATGCCAAGGCAGCCCATAATATTGGGATTAATTTTAGGCCTTATACCACAGATCAACCCTTGATGCCTTGACATTAATTTTAAACCAAATTTTGATGGAGGAGCCAGGCTCAGGGGTCCCTTGTGATGTTCCACGTGTGGCTTTTGGCAATGGCTGGATTATATGGTCAAACTGGGGATCACATGTGAGAGCCAATGCCCAGCATAACAGTAAAACCACAAACCACAATAAAAGCAAACAGTGACATCTTACTGTTTTGTTTTTGTTTTTCAATTTCTCTGGGGCCTGCATGATGATTACTGGGGCCATCAGGTCTGGCCAGGGGTGATTCTTTCTGAACATTCTCTCAGTACATACGGTATTACTTGAGTAGAAGTAAGAAATGAGGAAAAAACTAACGAAGTTACTTATCTTTCCTAATCTCTTGACCAACGTGTTTCCAGCAGTTTGCTGAGAAGAAGACTTTTTGAAGATCACGACATCCCTTCATTTCTTGTTTGACTCTTCTGATAAAGAACTACGATAACCTGAAAGGAAAGCATAAACATCTGGAGCAGTTCCAAAGGCACCTGGGGGGAGTCAGCACCGATTTCTCATTCAGGAGGCCTGAATAAAAGCATTTACCTCTCCTTCTCCAAATCTCAATGAAATAATAATTAAAAAAAAATTGAAACAAAAACAAATCCAGTGTAGCACTGACTGTCATTGGAATCAGGTATGAGTTGCCTGTTGTTGACAGATCAGAGAAAAAAAGCATTTGGTAGAAAATACAAACAAAGCTAGGAAAAGAGATTAGTGGTAAAATATAAAAGAGCAGACTTTTATATCTTTAAAAAAAAAAAAAAAAAAAAAAAGAAGTTTCTCTTAGAACTGTTGGCCAAGCTCTAATAGACAAAGTCGGGAATGGAAGATGGGGCAGGTAGAAGGCCACAAGCAAGGGAATTTAATACGGGGCTGTAGAAGCTCAGAGGCCATCTGGGACAAAGCCGAAAGGAGGGCTCTATGAAATGGAGATTCCAACACAGAATGAGGGCAATGCCCAAGAAACATGCAACTCGGACAAGACAAAGATGCACCCCCAGATGCAGAAGGCAACTCTTCAGACCCCATCCCGACCCACATACTTCATCCTGTCCTCCACAAAATCCATGGAGGCAGGGGTCCTGGACCCAGAAGCTGTATTCACTGCTTTTTAATATATGACTCCTCTTTCAGTGGTACAAAGATTTCCTGTGGTAAATCATCTAGTATAAACACTCAAATAATCACTTTAATCTGTAGAATATCTAATTCAAGTGCTGCTAAAGTGTGCCTAAAACTCTCATAGGAAACTGATGCCTGTAAGTTTATTTCTTAATAAAAATGTATTCTGCATATATATACACGCACACATATACGTATCTCTATCTATCTATATCTCAGGATATAGTAAATAACAGAAAACCCTTGAACAGTTACTTACAAGAGCCTATGAGAAAAAGCATCCAACCCCATTTAGCTCCTCAATGATGCCAGCAGGCTACTCGCACCCTCCCAGGCAGCTGTGTCTAAGCATGTAGACCTTCCTCTTTATGCTCCACACCCCATGGTCCCAAGATGGCTCTTCACCTCCCTTTCTGTGTCTGCTTCAGGAATAAAAGAAAGGAGAAACAAGGCTTATGTTTTGAATCAGAAAGGGGACTTTGGAATATAGTAGACATGGGTTGGAATCCCCAGCTCCAGCACCTGACAGCTGTATGCATGGATGTATTTATTGTTTCTCCTTAAAAAGTTTTCCTTTTTATTTAAAGGACATGAAATGCCTTTTAGCTGTGCCTGTAAAGACTGAACCTTGCACTGCCTGTGACCCTTAGTAGTAGGGTAAGCCCACATCTGGCACATGTGCTAACCAAAATTACCCTGGATAAGTGCATGATGACTCTCAATCTGTTTCTTCTTTCTGTAAAATGGGAAAGTGGCCACTGTACTGGATGGTTTTAGGGACCCAATAAAGCCATGTAGACAACATAAAAAAACAAAACATCCCTGAACACTTTGGGAGGCTGAGGGGGGTGGATCACCTCCTATATCAGGAGTTCGAGACCAGCTTGTCCCACATGATGAAACCCTGTCTCTACTAAAAATACAAAAACTAGCCAGGTGTGGTGGCAGAAGCCTGTAATCTCAGCTACTTGGGAGGCTGAGGCAGGAGAATCGTTTGAACCTGGGAGGTGGAGGTTGCAGTGAGCCAAGATCGTGCCATTGCACTCCAGCTTGGGTGACAAGAGCCAAACTGCTCAAAGAAAACCCCAAAAACAACAAAATCCCTGGAAATTTACATTTTTAACAAGTAATTACTTTGGAGTACAGCCTTGCACGTGGATTGTTTTTACAAGGACTGACAACCCACAACAATATTTTCAAACCTCAGTTTTGAGAAACCTCTCTCAGACTGTGTTTTAGTGAAAATCCATTTGAAAGCATTGCTTCTGACCATCTCATAGCTTTGGTCAGGTATTTTTTGAAGAATTACACATTGCTTGGCATTTGACCAATACTAAGTGGGCCTACTGAAAATCAGCAGCAATCTAGAAATTAGAATTATTTTATTCCATATTTATGTAACTAAAGATTGTTATTACTTTATTTCAAAGATACCCTAACTTCCTGCATGTCTCCAGTTTATCTGGTGGAGCTGAACTAATCTGAGTATATTATGAACACAAGCAAGTTATTTTTTAAAATGAACCTGTTTGTACTAAAAATGTATAACTAGAAGAGTTTTCTACTAAACATATTATCTAGAAGTGTGTGGATCTTTAAAACGTTAGATGGTGGTAAAAAAAAAATCACTTCTTACAGGTACGGCAAACACAAAATACAGTAAACAAACAAACAAACATACAAACATATCTGTGCTATAATTTGTTATTCTTTCTGGGGTTGTGGGATTTCCACTGCTTCCCCCCACCCCACTGTGTGTGTGTGTGTGTGTGTGTGTGTGTGTGTGTGTGTGGAGTGTTTTCTAGTCTGTAGAGATGCAGAGTAGAATTTTAAATTAAAATATTCAGATAACTAGTTACAATCTAACTTCTCCCAGAGAATGGAAGGAAATGGGAGAAATTGTGTTGTAAATTAAAGACATTACTGCACAAGCCTCAAATGATGTTACTGGGGATTTAAATGTTTTTATCTGGATTCAGATTAAGAGTCATCAGTTTTCCCTCTCATCAACAATTTATTCATTTATCCATTATATTCTTATGGATTGATATGCCCAACACCATACTCATTAATCCAATTTATAAGCTAATCTAACGATAATCTTATTTAAGTTATAAGGGTTTTGGCAAATGTTCACTCTGGAAAACTGGGGTGTAAAAATATGGGCGATCTCAAATTTATTTCTGTGTATGTAAAAGGAAAAGCTTCATATCTAAAATAACTTTATCTAAATATACACAATTGTTTGAGGGCAACAAAAGGGAGAAAAATACAACCGTAAAAGGGCCAAGGACAGAGGGATGGGCAAATGAAGGAAAGGCAGAGACGGTGAAAAGAGCTGGGGGAGAAAATTCTGTGGAGGAGGTTAGGAAAGGGGTGGAGCCGGCACTCTTGCCTTAAAAGCTGAGTAATAGCCCAAGGGATATATAAAAGACTTGTTGAGCCAAGTAGGGAAAGCAGCCAAAAGCCGGGGACAGGCACACAGGTCCAGGTCTGTAGGCCACAGCAGCTGCAGACCCGAGAGGCAGCAACGCCCAGACCTCCAGGAGCGACCAGGGCCAGGATGCCTCGCCTGCTCTTGTTCCACCTGCTAGGAGTCTGTTTACTCCTGAACCAAATTTTCAGACCAGTCGCGGCCAACGAGAAGGACGACGTTATTAAAGTATGCGGCCGAGAGTTAGTTCGCGCGCAGATCGACGCTTGCGGCACGAGCACCGTGGGCAAAAGGGTTCTGAGCCGACAAGATGCTACTCCGCAACCTAAACTAGTGACAGGTGAGAGCTCCCGACCCTCCCGGCCTTCCCGCACTTCCCATTGGTTAGTCTCCGGCGGCTGCCCAATCGGAACGGCGGCCCGCACACCCGGCTCGAGATCTCATTGGCTTCCAGTGCTCAGCTCGTACTCCGCCGCGGCTGTTTTTTTAAAGTTTGGGCTTTTTCTTTGCCATTTGATTTTATTCAAACAGTCTCCCTGGGACTCTCCCCAGAGGGAGGGAAAGCACTGAGAATAGGAAGCTGCTTCACCTGAGTTCCTTGGTGCCTTTCCCACCAGGCAGCCAGAGCGACAGGGTGGAAAGGAAGGGGAAGCGTCAGAGAAGGTGCCGGGCGACCAGACAGCGGGCGTGCTGGTGGGGGCACCAGGACAGGGCATCTCGGATTGAGAGGAAAGGGGGTAAACACTGAGGTGGTGCGCTGGTTATCAAGCCTGTTTAAGCACCGTAGGAGGGGGCAGCACTCTGAGGTCTCTGTGACGGTCCGGTAATGGAAAGATGGGAAGGGCCTTACACTTAATGACTCTCCTCGTCCAAAAGTTGGGCTGTGGCTTATGCCATTGGAAATGTTCTTTAAAACAAAACAAAACAAATTCCAAAGGAAAGAGTCTGGCCTCCCACTTCTTTGATGTGAGTATTAAAGTTCATTTGCGAGAGAGGGGATGGGATGGAAAGGCAAGGCAAGGCAAGGCAAGGCAAGGCAAGGCAAGGCAAGGCAAGGCAAGGTAAGGCAAAGGCAAGGCAAGGCAAGGCAAAGGCAAGGCAAAGGCAAGGCAAAGGCAAGGCAAGGCTTGAATGCCTACAAGAGAAACTTAAGAGGACCAGAGACGAGTGAAGCAGGCCTTCAGACCATCATAGCTGAAGACCCTATTGATGCTTTAAAGCATTTGGAAGCTGCAGTGGGTTTGCTTTAAAAGCAAGATCTTAGAGTTGGGTACAGCTCATTCTAGAATGGCTTTTAAAAATATTTTTGTGTTTATAAAGTAGCAGTGAAAACTCATAGAGGTATACTAGCCTGAAAAGTGTAATGGATCATATTAAATTCGGAGAAGGTAACCTCAATTTGCAACAATAACGTGTTTTATATTAATATGACATGTAATTTATGATAAACCACAATTAAATTTTATAGGCTATATGCATATGCTGTATATAAATGACTCGAATGTAAATATATTTACTCTTACGAGATTTAAAGTATAGTTCTAAAGTTATTTACTTTTCTACATTGTTTGTTAGAGTTCGATTTAATGGCAACTTTTACATGACTTTTGTATAACATTAGTACAAAAGTACCACAAAGTCTAGGAATTTACTGATTCAAAGTAGAGAAGACCAGATTGCATTGCATTTGCTTTATTATTCCACGTTTTCTGACTATAAAAGTAGTAATGCTCATATTAAAGACAAAAATGTACATTAATGAAGGGAGAAAAATGAGAAGCACATGTAGATATTAAAGACTGAAAAATATATGTGAATTTTATGAGAAAATGAAATTATATTAAACAAGTGGAAAGAAATGTTAACATTTGGATAGGTATATCTTTTGAATTTTCACTCAGCATTATACTTTGAGCAGTTTCCCACATTGCTATTATCCTAAAACATAATTTAAAATTTCTGTGTAGTATTTTATCATAAATCTGCCACATATACTTAAACGTTCTTTGGGGGATATATAGTTTATTTCTAAATTGTTGCTGAAAATAGTTCACTGAGCACATTTATATATAGATATTTGGCTATATTTGTATTTCCTTACAAGAGACATGAGATTTTAAAGTATTTTTAAAGAATTTTCTTTATTGCTATGCAGTATAATTAAACTGAAAGTAATCTAAGAAAATATTGCCTGCAGATGGGAGTAAGATAAATGTTTACCATTACTAGGTAGGAAGTACATGTGATTTGTGATTCCTATGAGTTTTCAGACTTCCACTGTTAGGTAATTGCTATTTGCTTTCACATTATTACACTGTTAGCTAATCATTTTATCCTACAATGTGTGCCAAAGTAATATTCACTGCATCCCTTTTAAAAATAAGATATACTTTAAACCGTAAGAGGCCTATTTTAGTGAGATTTGCATCCATAATACAGTGAATTAAGGGTATTTATATGAATTCAGACAGAATATTTTCTCTGATCCTAGGTTCCATAGCTAAAAGTGTTATGGATTATGAACTATTTCAAAACAGGTTTAAAATATAATTTAATAAAAGAGTACAAAACACACAGCCTATGAATAAACTTAATACAAGCTATGACTGTTTTGGTTGATTCATTTAACTGGCTTTAAGTATATAGAAAATCACCATCAGCTTTTCTCAGCATTTAATAAGGCCCAGCTACAGAAAGTTTAGGTTGGAGCAAAGAGATATTAAAGACTGAAAAATATATGTGAATTTTATGAGGAAATTAAATTGAATTAAACTTAGGATGTCTTACTGACAGAAAATACCAAAACCTCTTATTTAACCAAAAATGATATAAATTCTCATCTGTCATTTCCAGTTCAGAATGTGAATGAGGGGGAGTGTTAGGAAGAAAGACAAATTTTTTTTTTTTTTAATTCTTCTGTCAAACTCCAACTGTTGAAGTTTGTTGTGGGCTAAAAGGAGAACAACTGAGTCTCTTGCTACAAAACTGAAGAAATGCTCTGCCCCAGAACTAGTGCTGTCTAGGTGAAGGGACATGGTTTTCTCTATCAGCAGGCATCAGTGGTTAACCAGGTGTCTGCCTCCCACACTTAGATTTACTCCTCTTATCTCTTTCTTTTCATTACTTCAAGAATAATGCCTTGTTAATGGACAGTTTTGCTGTCCAGGAAGAAGAGCAGCAAGACCTGATCTGGGTTTAGACTATAATTTAAACACCATCAGTGTTTTTAATTTCTTTGTGAAATAAAACTCTCAAATTATGTAATTAGGATAGTTAAGGTTAGGAGAGGGTTTAGCTCACTGTAAGTTTTTTGAGTGAAAGAAACATTAAAAAAATTATATCTCCTAACTAGCAGTGCTAGAGACATGGAAATAGTTCATGAATGTTCAACTGAGCTGAATGGGTACAAAGATGGAGGAAGATGTCAGCTGGGTGTTCAGCAGGTTCCCAGCCCAAGTCTCAGCCTTCACATTTGGCCAGACTGGGTTGCTTATAAAAACAGGCACCCTTTCTAGGGTACACACAAATCTTGCTTAGTGCATGATTCACAGCCTTGGAACAAATATCAAACAGAAAATATTAATCAGTACACTTATACCACAGCAAATATGAATCTCTTCTTAAACCAGTGATTTTTGGTTAGTGTTCTTTTAACCCACTTCTCTCTTTAATATAAAATACTATTGATTTGGAGTACATACTCTGGGGAAGACAAATTGTTAAATAGATAGTTGAGGAACATCAGACTTCTTTCTCCTGCTAATTAGATCAGAGCTGTTGGAAATTCTGCCTCTAACTTTATCCTCCAGGAGTAACTTGCCACCATGAAACACTCAATAGCTTAAAATAATATCTTTTTCAAGGGTTACTATTACAACTCTTAATATCATAAATCATAGCTTAGCAATGGAAGAAAATGGCTTAAGAAGAATCCAAAAAATGACCACAACTGTGGTCAAACTGAGTATTTTCAATGACTTACATGACTTCAGAAAGATGACAGATTAATGTCAGAGTCAAAAGTACTGTGATAAAAGCATTGAGGGGATCATGAAGAGACATGAGAGAGGACCAACGGGGTAGAGCAGAGCCTTGGTAAAATTATGGTACTTGAAGGTGTCTAACTGTAAGAAAGCTAAGTTGTTTAGATATTAGGACACTTGCTTATTTTGTTCCAATGTTTATATTGAGGCAATACTTTCTTTTTTCTACGTAAACATTCATAGTTATCCTGAATGCTCTTTGACATGAATATGACCTCATGTACACTTTTTTTTTAATTTAACAGAAATTGTGCCATCCTTCAACAGCAAAGATACAGAAACCATAAATATGATGTCGGAATTAATTGCTAATTTGCCACAGGAGCTGAAGGCAGCCCCATCTGGGAGGCAGTCATTGTTACCAGAGCTACAACAACGTGTACCCATATTAAAGGATTCAGATCTTAGCTCTGAAGAATTTAAGAAAATTATTCACAATAGACAAAGTGAAGCCGCAGATAGCAGTCCTTCAGAACTAAAATACTTAGGCTTGCATGCTCATTCTCGAAGAAAGAGACAATTCTCCCTGGCACTGTATGACCAATGTTGCCTAATTGGTTGTACCAAAAGAGCTCTTGCTGTATTTTGCTGAGTTGAAGCTAATTGTGCACATCTCATCTAATATTCACACATATTCTTGATGACATTTTCACTGATGCTTCTGTCAGGTCCCATTAATTATTTAAATTTAAGAAATCTTTATTAATGTTTTGATTTTTCATTTGATGTGTAAGAAAAGACTTCGTATGATTGTACTTTTTATAAATGACACTTTTTATGCTGAAAAGTTTTTTGTCTTTTTATTAACAGAATGATTATGTTGTGTTATTCTTTTTAATGCTGCTAACTTAAAATTACAATAAAACTTTTACCACTTTAACCATACATAATAACAACATAGTACCTAACACCAGTTACATGAAATAGACCAAAATGTTTTTATTGATATTAACTCTTAGCTTGGATATACATGAAGCAGTAACCTTGAACTTTCCTAATAGATTTTGAAATGTTTTTGTGTCATATTGAAATACTCATTGCAAACAATCAGATTGGACACTAAACCAAATTTAATTTAGTTGAGGTCATATAAATTGAAGTACTTTTTTTCTTTTTAAAAAATTTTTTTTCTAGTATAGTCTGAAGGAAACTCAAGTACTTTTCAAGCTAGGGCTCTGTTCTCAGTTCTAGTGTCTAAGAAACCTAAAAGTAAATTATTTTTAAGGAGAAAAATGAATAGAAATAGAAGAGAACAAACAAGTCCATATCATATGTTACAGAAGAAATAGTATAGGGAACACACTTTATGTTCACTTCTTTAGAATTTCCAAACTATTTCTGTAAGCAAAATTACTGAAGTAATATGAACACTTGTTAGAAAAGTAAATCGACATAGTTATCAACTTAGGATTTTACTGGTTTCGTCTGTTATATATGTATGCATTTTACCCAGCATTTATAGAAGAAATACAGCTGAATGACAAGTGAATCTCCTCTATCACATCAAATCTCCTCCTGTAAACAAATTTAAGAGATGAAGACAGTAATTCCTGTATTTCAAAGTCCCATACATGACTAATAATAACCAAGTCTCTAGGATTTATTCATTCCTCACCAAGGGCACCTTGCAAAGCTTCATAAATGACTGCAAAACCTCACAGATGATAGCCACCTTGGATGAAGCAAGGAAGAGTGCTGTCTGATATGGAGATTTCAACCTAGAAGAAATGAGGGCAATGTCCAGCAAACTTACAGCTCTTATAGAACAGAGAGGGACCTCCAGACTCGGGAGGCTGTTACCCAGATCCTGTTCCAGCCCATGTTTCACATCTGCTCCTTCGCAAAATCCATGGAGGCAGTCACTGAATTAGAATCCATATTGACCAGCTCTGGTGGTATGTCCACTTTTTGAGTGATTCAAAGGTAATTTGTGGTTAACTGTCTGCTAAGAATATGCAAATAATTACTTCAATCTTTAAAATGTATATTTCAAGTCCTACTAAAGTCTACCTAAAACGGTCATGAGAAACTGATGATTCTAAGTTTAATTTATGTCTCAAAACATTTACCCTATTGATACATATGTAATAGGACTGTGTCCTTTGTAAATAACAGAATACCCTACAAAAGTACTTCTAAGAGGCCCATGGAGTAAATAAGCATCTACCCGCTGTTTAACCACTGAGTGGTAGCAGCAGCCTCCTCCCAACTTTCCAGTCACCTGTGCCTAGCATAGAGGCCTTCCTCCTTATGCTCCCTCCCTCATGGTGGGTCCCAAGATGGCTGCTGCTTCCCTCTTAGTCTGCATTTCAGGCAATAAAGAAAGGAGGAACAAGAGGGATTAATGCCTGAAAGAGAAATGCAAAGGCTTTTCCAGAAACCTTCTCACTTGTGCTCATGGTGTATTGGCAAGAGCTGTGTCATACAGACACTGCAACCTGCAAGAGACATTGAGAAATCATAGCTAGCTCTTATAACCTCCAGAGTTGAGATAGTCCAGGGAGAAGTTTCCAAAAAAGACATTGGCACAGTTAATCTATAGATGCATTCATACTCTGTTGTTGTGTCTGTAGTGACTCTCTGAAAGACATTCTTGTCTATTGCCCTTCACTATTAGATTAACTTCAACCATGGGATGCTGTGGAAAAAAGAACTTTTTGGAATCCAGTGGACATGGATAGAATTGCAGCCTCAGCACTAACTAACCAGCTGTATGTGTGATCATATTTTTGTTTTGTTTTGTTTTTAAAAAGATGTCTTTGTTTCTTTTGACAGAAAATACTTGTATTTGTTTTTAAATTTATAAAGTCATTTTTAAAAGTAATTTTAGGTTTACAGAAAAATATAGTAGAAAATACATTCAATTCCCACATGGCCCCTCACCTCATCACATAGTTTTAAGTATAAATAACACCTTGCATTAGTGTGATACTTATGCATAAATTGAACCAATATTGATACATTACTATTATTAATTAAAGCCTATAGTTTACATTAGAGTTCACTCTTTGGATTATACTGTTTAGAGTACGTTCTATGGGTTTTAAAAAATTAATTGGCATTTTAAAAGTAGTTTCAAGTTCACAGGAAATTTAAGTGGAAAATGCTGAATCTTACTCCATACTCTCCCAACTACTTCCCCTAACATCAGTCCTCATTATCTTTATGTTTGTTGCATGTGGTACCTTTGTTACAACTGATAAAGGAAACTTGACATTATTATTAATTAAAGCCCATAATTTACATTATGGTTTACGCTTTGTGTTTTACATTCTATGGGTTTTGACAAATGTATAATGACATATATTCTCCTTAAAGTAGTATTCAAAATTGATTTTACTGCCCTAAAAATTCCTTATACTGCCTACTTCATGCCTCTCTCTTCCCCAAATCCCTGGCATTCACTGATCTTTTTCCTGTCTCCATGGTTTTGCCTTTCCACAACCTCATATTAAATGGGCTATAGCTTTTTCAGATTGACTTCTTTCACTTAGTAATATGCCTTTAAGTTTCCTCCATGTATTTTCCATGGCTTGTTTACTCTTTCCTTTTAGCACCAAATAATATTCTTTGTCTAAATGCACCACAGTCTATTTATTCATTCACCTACTAAAAGTCATTTTGGTTGCTTCTAAGTCTGGGCAATTATGAATAAAGCTGCCATACACATTCATGTGCAGGTGTTTATGCTGAAATAAAATTTCAACTCACTGGGATAGATACCAAGAAATACAATTGCTAAACCATATACTAAAAATATGTTTAGTTGAAAAAATCCTGCTAAACTGTCTTCTAAAATAGCTGTATCATTTTGCATTCCTACCAACAATGAATGAGAATTCCTGTTGCTCCACATCTTCATCAGCATTTGGTGTTGTCAGTGTTTTGGATTTTAGCCATTCTAATAGTTCTGTAGTGGTATCTCATTGTTTTAATTTACAATTTGCAAATGATGTAAGATGTTAAAATTTTTTTTTCACTTGCTTATTAGCCATCAGCCTATCTTCTTTGGTAAAGTATTTCTTCAATATTTTGCCCATTTTTAAATTGGGATTTTTCACATCAGAAAGCTAAAAGGATCTCAAGTTAACAATAGAACATCACAACTAAGAAAACTAGAAAACCAAGAAATAACCAAGATCAGAGCTTACCTGAAGGAGATAGAGACATGAAAAGCCCTTCAAAAAAATCAACAAATCCAGAAGCTGGTTTCTTGAAAAAATTATTAAAATAGATAGACCACTAGCAAGACTAATAAAGAAAATGGAGAGGATTCAAATAAAAATAATCAGAAATGATAAGGGGGATATCACCACTGACTCCACAGAAATACAACCATCAGAGATTACTATAAACACTTCTGTGCACATAAACTAGAAAATCTAGAAGAAATGGATAAATTGCTTGACACATACACCCCCCGAAAACTGAACCAGGAAGAAATTGAATCCACAAATAGACAAAGAATTCTGAAATTGAGGCAGTAATAAATAGCCTACCAACCCAAAAAGCCCAGGACCAGATGGATGGTCTGATGGTACCAGCTGAAGTGTACCAGAGGTACAAAAAATCCGGATACCAAAACCTGGCAGAGATACAACAAAAAAAGAAAACTTCAGGACACTATCCTTGATGAGCATCAATGCAAAAATCCTCAGTAAAGTACTGGCAAACTGAATCCAGCAGCACATCAAAAGCCTTATCTACCATGATGAAGTAGGCTTCATTCCTAGGATGCAAGGTTGGTTCAACATAAACAAATCAATAAACATGATTCATCACATAAACAGAACGAAAGACAAAAACGACATGATTATCTCAATACATGCAGAAGACCTTTGATAAATTCAACATTAACAAGCCCAATGTCATTTAGAGTTTTTTCCTATGTCATATTCTAAGAGTTTTATAATTTTGCATTTATTATGATTATGAAATACCCATACCAAAAGTGTGCCATTTAAATTATATTTTAGTGTAAGCTTAGTGGCATTAAGTACCATGACTCCAGCTGGGCCTACCAGTGCAGCCATGAACCCATGCACCTGAGCCCACACATCATGACCCAGCAACCCAGCACACATTATCCAGGATAAGGGCAAGGCTAAGCCCAAAACAGAAGGAGCTGATGCACATGCTACCCAGAGCCTGAGAGCTGACCCTTTCTAGCAGGAGAGCCACTGTGCACTTTTTTGGACCCCACTGGAGCCCAAGGATCAGACCACTTGGGGCCTGCACCAACTGGTGACAATCCACCCCACAGCAGTGGAGCCTCTTCACATTTCCCCAGAGTCCCAAAAGTGGCTTGCTCAGGCCCACTGCCACCAGTGACTCCACTATCCTAAACTGTGGAGCTGTCATGTGCCCACACATGTCCCCCAAGGGCCCAAGGACTGGTTCATCTGGTGGTCTCCACTCCCAGTAAAGCTGTGACATAGCTTCCACAAAAACATACAGCCTAGGTCACTGAAGCACTCAAAGTCACCTCTGACATTGATTACAGCCAATGAAATTACATAGAGACTACACTACTGTGCCCACATAGCACCAAAACCAAAGCTCTCTACCCAAATGATGCTATAGGACGTGTCTATAGGAAAATGTCTATCTTTACAAAAGCTATTCCATAAAATGAGAAAAAGCATCTGTTCCAGCAGATGTGCATATATCAACATAGGACACAGTAAACATGAAAAAAGCAAAGAAACATGACACTTCCAAAGGAACATAAGAATTCTTCAGTAACAGTTACTGAAGACAAAGAAATCAACGAAATATCTGCAAAGGAATTCAAAATAATTATCTAAAAAATTTCAGTGAAATGTAAAAGAATAAACATAGATAACAACATGAAATCAGGAAAACAATTTATAATCTA